GTACTCACTCATAATTGGTTTCTAGAGATAAATAAAGGTCAGTGAGTCTATAATTTGATCTCCTAAAGAACCTAAATAAGAAGGTGATCCCAAAGTAAAACATATAGCTATCCTCCTGATTATGGGAAGTAGACAAGATTGCCGGGCAAAAAATGGGATCTTGGGGGAGGGGGGGAGGGAGGTAAGGGGAGATGGGGAGAGAAAAGTGAGAAGGGGAGGTTGGGGGGAACTTGGGAAACGGGGATGTTTGGGATAAAGGAAGGTCGGATAGGGGAGCAGGGAAGCACACATCTTAATTAAGGGAGCCATCTTAGGGTTGGCAAGAGATTTGGTGCTCCGAGCTTATTTCTGATGCAAGACTTAGACTCTTTGGAACAGAATTTTTATTAAAACATTTGTCGTGTGTTCCTTGCTTAATATTGTTTATGTTGTTTGTAATTTTATACTTGATATCTGTTCCTGTTGTATATAGTTTGGTATTGGGTTTGGACCGCTCTTGTTTAGACCAAAGGGGAAGGTGATGGGGAAGCCTTGTTAACCAATTATCTTTAAGAGGTGGGACCAAGTTAAGGTGTGGCTTTCTGCGACCCAGAGAAAAGGGCCCAGGGCTCAGGTTCTCTCTCTCTCTCTCTCTCTCTCTCTCTCTCTCTCTCTCTCTCTCTCTCTCTCTCTGTGGTTCCCTTGCCGCTGCACAGCTCAGCTTGAACTTTTCATTCTGGTTTCCTGAGTTTTCTCCTTATAAGAAATAAAATTATAATTATCTTTTACCTAGCCTGGTTACTTCCTGAATTGAATTAGCTTCTACATAAGGCAGCCTGGGCATGTGTTTCAAAACCCAGAAAAGAACCACAGAACTAACATGTGGAGCTATCAGTGTCATCCTTCATGAACAACTTCTATAGACTGAACCACACAGAGGCCTAGGAAATCCAGTCAAGGATGGGCTCAGTGTCTAAAAAGGAATCCCATGAGGATGAGGCAGGGTAGTGAAATGTCAGGGAATTTAAGAGAATTGTGCTGTACGCGTTGAGAATTTATGATGCCAAGGACAGGAAGTAAAAGGTATGATATGGAAACTCTAATAAAATAACAAATGAAATTAAACAGTTAAATGTAAAGTCTATATAAAGCATGTCTGAAAGACAAATCCGGGCAGGCAAACTTGGTAGAGTCTGTGCACTGGGTTGTTCTACTCATTGTAGCTAGACAGAGTGATGGACACAGAGACTGGGATTCTCTCTAGGTGTGTTTCACAAGTCAACAGGCAAATTCAGT